ATGCCTACTGTCAATTCAACACCGCCAAACTAACCAGAGATCACTCTGGATGGTCTTTCCCCGCTACACTTAGGCCATGGAAGNGGGCCTACTATGGGAAACCACATTCAGGAGTCCTTTGAAAGCATTGGTAAGTAAGTTCAGGTTAATATGATACAGTACCAACAGTTTTTCATTAATTGTACCGTACTACTGTACTACCAGCAACTCACCCCCTTCCCTCCTTCCCCATATCTCTCCCCTCCACCGCCTCGGCCCTTGTCCGTGATTTTTTAGGTTCAGGAAATGAGATGAATGTAACGAACGAATACTCAATTCGTCTTGAAATAAAAGTGCATTAATTAATTTGGCAATGGGCCAATATTTTTTCCAGATTTATGAAATAATGATAACTAAAGGTCTGTTTTTAGAGCTCTCTTCTGGAAGTTTTCCATGAAGAGTAGAGGAGTTCATAAAGTTCGAATACGGAAGCGATAAGTGTAAAGTAGCGTAGGTACCATGCGTATCACGAGGAGATCGTATCGTGGGTCCGCACTAACTTCCCCAACTAAACTTTCTTTTCCCTGAAGTCTGCTATTCTGTATCGGACCCGTGTAGGAACATACAAACACTGACTCTGACGACGGGTAGTCTTCTCGAAAAATGCGAATGCTTGGGTGCATCCCTCAGGGACACTTCGTCATTTAGTTTGTCTGATGGGTGGATGGGTATAACTGAAAGTACAATTCGTCAATGACTCCCTGTCAGCTGGTGCTTAACTATTTATAGTTATGAGGTAGTGGAGGACGGAATAAGAGCAGTCCCAGTAACCACATCGAGGGAGAATTCATAGATGGGGGTCAGTTTGAACTTCGAAGACTCAAAAACTGGTGGTTGATCAGAACGAGAGTCGAAAGCATGGCGCACTCCATTGGTTATTCTTATTTCTACTAATATTCTAGTATCCTAGTTGATACTTACCGAAAAAAATTATGTTGCTTTTTTCGAAATGAAAATTTTCGTTGTTGTTGTGTAAGGGAAGTAATTCAATTTTAAAATGTTAGACGATAAATTTAATCCGATCTCACTTCCGACATACTGGATTTTGCAAGCTGGCCTCAATTTTGGATCCTGAGGCTGCTCGAGGTTACGTGCTAGTCACTGCAGTACTGCTGTCAGTGTTGCCAACTATTCAGAACTCACACGTCTCAACAATACTAACTTCAAGATATGACTAGTAAGGAACAATTGAATAAGCTCGCTAGCTGAACGTAACTGCAAGGCCGTCAGTTTAAGGATTTTGTTGAGAAAAATATGAATTTCGTAGTCCCCTTGTTGTTTTTGTTTTGCTTGGTGAGTGATATCCGATCCTGTTAGTTACTCCTAGGCAAACAAACATCTGAAAGCTCGTCCTTCATATCCCGCTAATCAGAAACCCAATTCTTCGTGGCACCAATATCCAACTTGCCCGGTAAATTGCTGACGTTGAAATAATCGACAGTTTTTTACGTGATCATCAACTGCAAAAAAAATCCAAAAACTGATCTATTGGCTTCGATCAATCCCTTGTGTGGGATGCACCCGCATTCGATTCCCACTCAGAACTGTAGCGATGCTCTGAGACTCGTTTGAAGCCATATCATTGTCTCCTTCGGTTGTCATTCGATCTGTAAATCAGTGCTTCAATACTCTGAGACGAAGGCAGTTAGGTTGGTCTGGGGTAATATCTATCTGGGATTCGACCCCGTGTCGTGTGTGGTAGTTGCGCCACTTGCAACTACACCAACTCTGCCCACAATACAATATTTTAATCAAAAATTTTTAGTGAGGGATTTTGCAAAGAACATGACGGAAAATTCCGGACCAGCCGGTCTAATTGGTAAGAGGTTCATGATCCACTGCCTGTGTAACTAGTAATTGCCCGTTTCTGGTATGACAACCGCGCTCTACAGTTACTTAATTGCCAATTGAGCTGACCATTTTCCGGGAACACAATCCATTGTCCAAATTCTTCACAGTGCCGAACATCGAGTTCAAATCGTCCGGATTGTTTGGTGAAGAAAGGATTTCTTCTACTGGAGTACGATCTCAATTCGTCCAACTCTAGCTGATTCTTCTTCATTTACGAGCTGTCCTTTCGAAGTGATGAACAAAAATTTGACGAACTCTTGTTTTCAGATCAACATCATCACTATGATTCGATTATGAGAAAAACTTTTGTTCCTCATAGAATGCAGATTATTACCGGGAAGTGGCAGTGGTCTCACTTCACCATCCTGCCTGATGCCTGTATGAAGAAAAAAACCCGAAAGCATCAAGAATTACTCCTTGAAAACAAAGTCAGAATTAGAAAAGAAAGCGATGTCTTTCAATTTTTTACCATAAAAGGACGTTCTCTGGACACAACTGTATTCTGTGGGTTGCGAAAGGAGTGTTTATTACAACGTCAAGAAATACCTACTGGTTATGTCGGCTGTATTCTGCACCAGTACTACAAAATATGTAGTGATGGTCTTTTAATACATCATAGAACAACCATAGTGAGAGAAGTTTGCGACTACTTTTGTGAGATGCTCCTTCGTTCATCGGCTCGGAAATATTTGAGTGTGCTTGCCATCTAGGGAGCATTGTTGGGTCAGTAGAGGAATGGCAGATTGCACCTACTTTCCAAGTCCGCTTATTTATTTATTTGTTGCCTGTTGATAGTATTATGGGAAAGGAATAGATGCACTGCTTCATTATCTTATCACTAGTTCTACTGTAAGGCGAACTTACCCCCCGAAGGTTAGAGAGGCAAATCAATCTCGTCTGAGGGATGCGCTCCGCATTCCACTTCCATTCGGAATCGTAGTGGCGTATTGAATGCGTATGATGGCCTATATGACTTGCGGTGGCCAGGCTTGTGTACGAGCTAGTGCTTTTATCCTCCCACACGAGTCTGGTACCAATTCACCGACCCCGGAGGGATGGAAGGCTTGGTTGGCTTAGGCAGATATCGATCCGGGATCGAACCCATGACCGTGCGTGTGTGATAGGGCGCCACTTCCCACTACACCACCTCCATTTATTAGTGAGAGTATAGCCTTATCTCTTAAGACACGGCTACTCCATGCATTTATCTTTGAAGGGAAATACTACCTGTTTTTCAAGATGAGTGAGTTATAGCCATAGACTGCATACCAGAGTATTTCATGGTCGACCATTTTTTTATTCTCGGTACCCCATGACTCTAACACGCCTCCACCGTTCAATATCTTAGAAAATTAGAAAGTGCACGGCTGGCAGTAAGTAATGAATAATGGCAATTGACGAGACTTTTGTAGATTGGAATGACACATGTGGACTGTCTTCGGAGTTTGATCATTTGTATTGTGATCGTTTGATGGTATCGACGTAGAGGTCTTCGATGGAAAACCCCTTTACACCTTACAATAAAAACATTACGACCAGACGTCTAAAATACATATTTCGAGGTCTCTTAATGTTTTGTAATCGTTTTGGGAATGAACAGTTCCAATGAGATTCCCACAGTGGGCGTTTTCAACAGAAACCATAAACACACACACACATACACACAATCTCATAGAGGATGAAGGGTGGAGTCTTTTGGCTTGATCATTCCCGTTCAGGGTGTATGCCCTGAATCCGACTTTCGTTTAAAATAGCCGTGTCAGATGAATGCGTATGTGGCCTATACGATGACTAGTGGTGCCCAGCTGATGTACATGTCAGTACTTCTATCCTTCCGGACGGGGGCGGTACCAATTAGTCGACCCCTGAAAGAATGAAGTTCTCGGGGATCTTGGGCCTGTATGCATCTGGGGTTCAACCCTCGAATCATGCTTGTGAGAATGTGCGCCCTTTGTCCTACACCCCTTCCGCCACATAATTACACGGAGCATCTGCAAACTGCGTAGGACACCTGAGCAGGACAAATCTTTCCTATATCCATTCTAGAGTGCTACCGACAGAAGCAACTGGGATTCATTCGAAAACTTAACAAGTGTTCCAAAGATGACGGCGTAGTCATGTAACGCGCCATTATCAACTACATGATCCATTCCTCTTGTAGGGCCTTTTACATCGAAACTGTCATATTCACTGAGGAAAGGTCTGACCTCGGCTAGAAGCTTCTAAGCTGCTCACCAATGAAGTCTCCAAAGGTGGTAACCAATGGGAGACATGGGGTCTACACATACGATCAGGCACTATGAAGTTCGGAACAAGCAGGTATAACTAGACTGGGAACTTGTAGCCATCACAGCCCATCTGTGGGCTAGCACCATCAAGGATAGCCTACCTCTCGGAAATCTTCTACAAAGTGGCATAAAATCAAAACAACTTTATTCGCCAAAATCATATATACAATATAAACAGAACATCATTAATTATGTGAAACCTCTTATCTCCTATCAATTAAAAGTTTTGATTTGATATTGCAATGAGTACTACACCGACAATACCGACTCCTATGGCAAATGCCAAAAAGATGAGATTACTGCGACCCTGAAAATAGCGACGTTAAAAAATAGTCTATCGTTTTGGGGTACCGAAACTTCTCCCCAAATTCCCACGGCAAGCGGCAGTGGTAACGCGGCGGCTACCCCATCCTTCCAGTAGGAATTCAAACCTTCCCCTTCATAGCGCAGGCAGACGCGACGTCGTTTTCGGGGAGAAGATACCGGACCCTACGTATAGTGTGAGCTGTTCTGACCCTTGGAAAAAACTTATTTTTTTTTTAAAAGCGATCGGAATTGCGCGAGAAATTTTTGATTCCAGATTCTGGCTATTCCTATACTTTGACCGAACATGTTTTGAATAAGACTGCGAACTTCTGTAGTATAGATATTTCTTGCTCATGTTCACAAAGGAATGCTATCGTGAATCAGAACAAGGCCCTGGTTTGAGTGGTGTGATCGAAAAGGCTAGACCCGAGTTCGTGTCTCAAATGGGGCCATCCGTAGTCTGATGAGACCAGAGCCCTTAATAAGGGTTTGAGGTTAAATGACCGCAGCATGGATTTACCCACCCAAAAAAGCTTTTATTTCTACAAATGTGGAGATACAATTCAATTCGAAACTTACCGTAATCGATTTGTATAGGAGAACATCGTAGAGAGCACTGATAATGGCCGGAAGCTGAAAAGTAAACATCCGATTAGGTCCAGCGATAAGATATGGCCAAGTAGCTGTTTCAGGTAAAACTGTGTATTCTTAATGGGAACATGTGGTTTCATAAAGAAAATTGGTGACTTCATATATCGTGAGAGCTCCCCACCAATCTGGGTACCTTCTAACTGGGATTATTTTCATTTATCCTTTTGGACCATTGTGAACCAAGGAAATGAGGCAAAAGAAATTCTTTTTGCTGAATACAACTATCTTCCTTCAGCAAAAAAGGTGTTTCACGGGTAGGGGCCTAGAGAAGAGGGAGGGTAAGGGTAGTGACCCACGTAAGAATGCTGGGTATCCTGAGAATTCGTGGCACGGTAGAGCGGAGAAATACGACCCCAGTCCCCGATAAGGGATTTCTACAACCATTTGAGTGCAACAGTAATGTTTTGTGGATTATAAATAACTTTCAAATCTAAAATACGTACTCTCGTTGTAATAGGGTAGGCTACAGTTTGTGATAGCCGATCACTGGACATAAACCAGAATGTCATTCCTGATGTCCATAGTATACCGTACCCAACAGAAGGTAATACCAGTTCGCGACCAACATACGCTTTTTCTCGTCGAATTATGCAGTAGAGGACAAAGTAAATTGTCGAGAAGACAAATACAGTCGAATAGAATGACCAAATGTAGTCGAACACTGAAACCATCAGAGAATCAAAGATGACTTTGAGATCGACTCAATGATTTCTCCATAACTCACCATTATAAGGGTCAGTAGATGGATTACGCTGCTTGAGTATAGCTATAGGTGCCATCATCAAACCATGAAGTATGGCCAAACACATTGTCATGAAGAGATAACTAAAAAGTACTTGAAAGTTTCAACAGTCAAAGAAGAACAAATTATGTATGACTTGGTTTTTTCTGTAGTGCTAGATGTGGGTCGAAGTACCAACTGGCTCGGGGATCGAACTCCAGTAGGAGAAACTTCGTCTCTTAGGGGTCAGTTGAGTGGTGACAGACTCGAACAGGTGAACAGAAGCACAGACCCCTAGAGTGTGGCCCTAGCAAGTCACTGCATAGGCTACATACGAATTTCAAGCATCACTGCGATTCTGAATGGAAGTCAAATGCACGGCGCACCCCAAAAATTATTGATTAGAGCCAAAGAACTTGTTCCCTATTTTGACGGCGGGTCTTCTTTATGTTAAATGTGCACTACTTGCACTTTGCGCAAAAATCGATAAATTAATTCGAAATTGACCAAAATGATAAGGCGAGTAGAGCTCTGCTGTTTATTCATCAGACTTTACATTGTCCTTCAACCAGATTGAGAGCCCACTTCTACAAACATCCCCATGCTCCCTCCTTTATGAAAGTTTGTTCCGAGCAACTCCTTTTAGGACTGGAGAAAATGCGCGCCTTCTATGTCTGCCCCGCCCACAGCCAGAACGCTCCGCCCACTGCTAACATTCTTAGAATTGTTGGGCGGATCATAAGAGAACTACAGTGACTCCTATTCTTCTCTTCGCTTAGTATGCGAAGTTGTAGAAGAGGTTTCCCTAACCTCGTTTCATCATTTCATGATACTTTACAATGAACTCACGGTACTTTATGAAGTAACTCCTTTTTGTTGATGAATTCTTCGGAAGACTTTTTCTCTGAGGAAGACTGAATAGTGAAGTTTTCATGAAAACTGTTTGATTCCAATGCAGTGGTTTCACTTGGAGCTGATTGAGACATAGGCTCCTTTTCCTTCTCATCATGTTTGACGAAAATGAAGAGTACACCACTGAAATTCTGCAAGTAAGTATACAGTAGCGCTCAAAAGTCTTCGGTGAAATGGTTGTTCAGCCGTACTTTCCAGACGTAATCCTTTCCTACTGGATCTAATCATGCGAAATTTCTATATTTGGAGCGTGGGTGTATTGTGAATATTCACCACTATTAACCTGCATTCTGGTCATGTTCCAGATATTCCAAAGGGCTTATACAAAAAATCATCTGGTAATACAGATGATGGCCCTTCTAGAATCTCTTTCCTTTTTGTCACGTCTAAAGTGTACGAGCGGTAATGCCGAACACAGTAGATGAGAAAAACAGATATAAGGTGCGAATAAGTGCAGACGGCAACAACTTTACTTTTAGCAAAATCTGCTACCGCAACAAACCCCTTGCTCTACATGTGGATATTGCAGCTTTGCAGTCAAATAGTGTTGGTTGGGGTGGAATATGCTCTATTTAAACATATCCAAACTTCGCGCGATTCGGTTTACTGGGAAAAAAGTTATGAACGAAAAAGCGTCAAAGCATTTCACCGAAAATTTTTGAGCGCTACTGTATGTTCACACGTTTGCTAAGAATGCTTATAAGCGAAGGCTCAAAAGCCATGAAGGTCAGGTCCAGCGGTATCCGGGTAGTTCAAGTAATGAATAGCACGGTGTGCAGAAAGCACAAGTGCCGTTCGAATCCCGTTAGATTCTGATGTTTTGCCCACAATTACCCAACCTTTTGAAACTCTCTCATCGCGTACTGCGACAAAATAACAGCATTACCGAATATACCAAGTAGGAACAATTAGCAAGACTTCACCTCACTAAAACAATAATTATGCCGATATAGTTAATCAGGTTGTGTTTCACCTCTGTGGCCTCCAAAAATCCAAATAGACCAAAACGAGCCACCGACCAACCAACGATGATCTGCAATGAAGTTATTGTTACGGGAAACAAGTAAAACACGATTGAAGGAAATTTCATCTCTACTAACTTGCATCGCTCCCCACACGAGAAATCCAATACCCATACCGAGACCGTTCACTACCGGAACACAGAACACATTTCCTGAACAGCTTTTAACATTCCTTTTGATTAGAACATTTCATACAGTATTAAGAGCCTAATGAAGTAAAGTTTCAATAGCTTTCATCGGGATAGGTCTCTTACACTGTTAGCTCTGTTAAGAAGGATAATAATCAGTAGGAACTCAGTTTCACCTTTCTCGGGAAGTACTGAAATTCTGAGCTATTCTCACTCGCTTTCTTAATTTTCCGCGAAGGAGTGCGTGATTACACCTTTGAATAAGATACAACTTCCATCCAGAAGTTCCCCCTAGATTTCTATGGATTTACTATTGTCAACGTTCTGAGCGACTACAACATATTTCTCCCGTGTACGAGTCTTCACATGAACTTGAGACTTGATAGTATTCATGCCTTCCAAAGACAGAAAACTTTTGGAAATCACTTCAATTCTGAGTGGTCACCGAGTTCGCGGCTCATCATTAATTAGAGCTTTATTCTGCTAAAAGCGAGGGAACAAAGAGCATATCCTTAGACAAGTCGGTGGAGGTGGAGTAGTGGCAGAAAGTATACAATCATGCACGCATGATCCAAGGATCGAATCCCCGCTCGATATAAGCCAAGGCCAACGAAGTCTTCCAGCCCTTTGTGGTCGTTTGGTTGCCACCCTTTGGGTGATAAAAAGCAGTGACTTGTGCATTGACTAGTAACCACACTTCATTGTGTATGACAAATACGCATTCAATACGCCATTACAAATCTGAATTAGAGTCGAATGTGGGGTGTATCCCCCAAACGTGAATGATCATCGCTGGAGAATTCAACCTTTCAACCTTATTCTCTCGTGTCGAGTCAAAGTCTACTCGCTGAAACTCAGTCTAGAAACAGAGACGGGAAAGTTGGGTTAGGATACGCGACAGTCTCTTGAGAGGGCTTCAAATCAGTTTTCATTTTTAATTTTGTTTATAGTGTCTATATGTACAATAGGCGGAGGTGGTGTAGTGGCAAGTAGCACCGTATCGCACGCACGGTCGCGGGTTCGAGTCCCGATCGATATCAAAGTCAAGCCATCCATCCCTCCGGGGTCGGTCAATTAGTACCAGACTTGTTTGGGAGGATAGAAGCCTTGAATTGTGCATCGGCTGGCTACCGCAAGTCATTGTATAGGCCGAATACGCATTCAATACGCCACTACGATTCTGAATGGAAGTCGAGTGCGGGGGCGCATTCCTCAGACGGAATTGATTAACGCCAAAAACATTATCCTTTGTCATTTATACGTACAAATCTCGGACTGATGATAGTAGACAAATTTCTACTCACCAGTCGCATACAGTACTCCACCAATGGCAGCGATCCATTGAAATTGTGGAAAGCCTCTGATAATGTTGATAAAAAAGCCAACGACGAGCACTACACTACATTCGACCCATTGAACGAAGAAACCTGAATTTAGTAAATTGAATTGAGCAGTAGTAATCAAAAAAGGCTGAAAACGGATCTTTAGCCCAAAAAATGTCGATCTGACGGAACCCCCTACACTCTTGTTCGAGCAAATCTTTGAACAACGGGATGAGCTGTGATATTGGCGTTCCAAGTGGTAAGTATAACTACTTGNAAAAATAATTGAAAGATCAAAAAAAAACTCAGGTAATTACAAATCTCGTCAGTTTATGACCACATTGAGGGTCTTTTAGGTTCGAGAGCTAGCTGTTGTCGACTGCTACAGTTATGTAAAGTACCGAAGTCATGGCATCTACCCGAAACATGCTTCTGCTTTTCTAAGACAGAGATACAGCCCTTCAAAACACAAAATAGAAGTCTCACTTCATCCCCACTAAAAGCTCTTCCGCCAATATCATGGATGGGCGGATGGTGAGATGTCTCCTGCTGAAGAGAATTCAAAAAGTACGCACCCTCATAGGGCATCGTCGCCACAACTTTATAGAAATTCAATTTACTTTCGTATACGGTGACCTCATCAATATGAGCTGAATGACAAAAAAAGGACCACTATCGCGCGTTGAAGTATATCCGGTACCGTATTCCAAAGACTAGCCAGACTAAGCCTTAAAATGGATACAAAATGGATACACCGGCACCCCAATTACCCTAAAATTCCATAGATAAGAGCGGGTGAACCTACCGATGAA